AGCAGTTTGCTGTAGACAGAAGTCCAAGCAATTTCGAAAAGTCAATACACGAGAAAAACGTGTCTTTGGAAAAGAATGTCTTGTTATTTGATATTGCAAGTCAGGAAATAAAAAAGTCAATATTGCCCGAAGGCTTCGATTATGTGCCAAAGTCCAAGAGAAAACTTCCACAGGTTTTAAAATTAAAGTCATTGACTATTTTACTAAAAGCGATTCGAGCTTGGCAGTCCTATCCCGCCACCACACATCGAATTTGGCTTTGCCATCCCAGAATGTATTCCGAAGGGAAGGATTACGATGAAGCAGGCCGTAGATCTCATTAAGAACTATCAGACCAAAAGTAAAACTATATCCCAGCTAGCGTTCGACCATGAACTAGATGTCTCGATGGTTTGTCCTCGTCTTATTATTTGATATCCCTTAGGTATCAGCTGTCTGTAAGTACTTTTCCCTCTTTGAACGCGATGCTGTGAATGTTTGGGTTCCACCATTAACTTCAACAGAGAAGAAGGAACTGCTTGACACCCCTGTTTATCAAGAAGATGACCAATTAGCCGGTGATGGCGTGGCGCGGCTTACTAAGCTTCGCGAACTTAGTCCTCCGTCTAAATGATAACTTAATTATTTTGTACTCAATCATGTTTTTGTGAATACATAGTTTATTTCGCTGTCTTTTTTCCTTCATACATTCTAACAGCTGCCCTATGTGAGTTGTTCGTCATTTAGGAATGAACTGTCTACGTGCTGTCACAACCACTTTTCCACGAGCGTGCTTAACGTCTCTTTGTCAATTTGTTTGCCGTACTAACCATGTACTGAATCGGGTCATGGAACCCCAAGACGGATTGTCAGGCGCGCTGCAAAGTTATTTGTCGAAACACCACAAATTCATGTTGGAGGAGTATAGTCGTCTGTCACAAGTTGTTTCTTCTGGCCAAAAAACGGGAATAAAGTAAGAAAACAACCACAACAACAACTACTGGTGTATTCCCATCCCGTCAGTACCCATAGCTGTGCCCAACTAAGTCTTGTTTTATTTGAAGGGAGTGTTTGGATAAGTGGTCGAAAATGAAAAGCTTGGTGGAGTTGTGTGAGCGCATGCAGGTTCTTTCTACGATGGATGCCGATTCAGCAAAGCTGTTGGAAGGTGGGTAAGTCAAACGTTATGCATTCCTCTGGCGCGAATATTCCTCCTCCGTGTACTGCTCACATGTATCTCTCTAGTGCATCTCTCTAGTGCATCTTGCTCTCACGAGTGGCATAGCAACCTGCGTGTTTTGCAAATCTGCCCACCGGGTTTGTGACAGCAAATGTGTGGTTTTGATGTTGGTGGTTTAAAAAAGGTATTTCTGGAAGAGAATTAGCAAATCTTGTGGCTTCTGGTTGTTGCTTCGCCTAATACGAGTTTAACCACGCTTGGTACAACTGGTTGTTGGCATTTTTTAAAGGCAGAACAAGGCAACCGAAATTCGTATTGAGTCAATATTAATTACAATTTCATTCTACCTTTTGACACCCGAAACTGTCCTTGTTTACGTATCAAGTAACCTTTCATCGCTGCCTCCCAAATGATTTTCCATTTTGTCAACAGAGTTGGACGATGGTTCGGATCTGGAATTGCGGCAGTTGGCGTGTCAAGAGGCCGAGTCTCGTCATAAGGAGAGAAAATCCCTGGAAAATCAGGTGCCCTAATTGTCGACTGTTCTATTGACGCTCCAAGTGACATTGTCGTATATCGCTCGATCGCGTACTTATTGAATTTCGAAGGCGCTCTTAATTCCAGCAAACAATACTTTCACGCCGTTTGACCAAGGCAGCTGCTAGTAACCTCCTATGCCCAATAGCCTCCCAATCTTGTAACTACAGAGTTCATATGTGTCTTCATTTTTTCCGGCGTTGCGACAGATCCTTTCGCTTCTCCTGCCGCCTGACCGCTACGCCGACTGTGCGGCGGTGAACATGGAGCTGATCGCTGGAGCCGGTGGTCTGGAGGCCGCCATGTTTGCACGTGATCTCTTCACCATGTACGCGACGTACGCACGCCAGCGCGGCTGGAATTTTTCGCCCCAATGCGCTCCGACTGAGGCCGCCTCCGAGAGCCCCATTAATCACGTCAGTGTTCTCATTGAGTCCATGGACCCCGACGATCCGGTGTACGCGCGATTGCACTGGGAAGCTGGCGTCCACCGTGTCCAGCGTGTGCCGACAACCAGCAAGTTGAACAAAATTCACACGAGCACCGTCGCTGTGACTGTGCTCCCTGTTGTCGACGAGGCGAGTTTAAGTTGTGGTACAATGTCTGCTTATCTAATATAAGTAACACGTTTGTATGATTTCAATTTCTGGTCGACTTGAAAATAATCACTCACCTCCTGCCTGTGTTCTCCATCGAAATCTTGTCATATTTAATGACTTTAGGCTTGGGAAACCGCACCAGCCGTCAGAATACACCCCATGGTTTCTTACATGGTAATAAAGTCAACCCTAATTGCGATTTTGTGTGCTTAAGTCAGTTTGCGCGAAGGGCGTGGCGTAATCGCCAATTCATTTACTAATCATCACACCATCTAACACCTTCCTGTTTATGCTACGAAGGACTTTTATAAAAAACAGCCCCTAACGATCATCGGTCAAACGCAAACAGTCGGTGTATTTGCGTTTGTTTGGTGTCAAAGTTTACCAAGAACTAGCAATCTAAGCGTTGGTTCCGAGGATCCTTCTGTGGACGACAAGGGATTCTGCTTTCTTGTTCTCCAACAGTAGTCGCTTCGCGTATATTTCATCATCGTTTACTCACTCATTCGGTCGAGTCTGGTTTGTCTTACACATTAGAAGATTGATCGATCGTAGTGTAGCTGGACCACGGGAGACTTATAAATGATTTTATCCGGAGAAAAAGTCCTTAATTTATTGATTGGTCAAGCCAGCTTTAGCTTCTTGGCTTGCACAACTGTTGCGTTAAAGGTAGCTTAATTGTGAGTGGCTGAGACGCGTCACTCAATTTTGGCGTCCTCTCTGTACATGCCATTCCGCCTTGGACAGTATCAATGCCGAATAAGGGCATTCTAGTTTTGTCTCGCATATGCACCTAAACACGGTTTGGATCAGTTACCGCGTAGCCATGGCAACTAGGTGATTAAGCAGAATTGGACGTGACCTCTTTCTCGAAATTCAATCTATAAGGTGTGTTGGTTAATTTTTGCGGATTATTCAGTAAATTTGTTTATTGTGAGAAAATAGGGAACAAGGAACTTCTTCATCTTGGAAATACTGTCCATCGTCTTCTGTGACTCGCGCCATCTCTTAGGTAACGTGGTGCGGCTGGTCATTAAGATCGAAATCGCCACTTCTAAAACGCACGTACACAACGTCTGCACCACGCCGGCTTTAGAGGCATGCTTTCCGTGTTGTTGGCGTTCTTTAAAAAATAAAATGCAGTGGCATCGGATGTGCTGTTTTTAAGTCGTTCGGTGTTCGGAAACCCCATTAGCGTCCGATCCTTTCAGAGCCAATGAAAGCCCGCGGAAGCAGTTTTGTTTGCGTAAGATCTGTCATTGCGTGCATTCTTATTTCAGGACGACGTGGCGCTTGAGCCAGACGACCTCGAATGGAGCGTCTTTCGATCCTCGGGTCCCGGTGGCCAGCACGTCAACAAGACGGAGAGTGCGGTGCGCGTGCGTCACAAGCCCACCGGCCACGTGGTGGCCTGCCAGAACGACCGGTCACAGCACGCGAATCGGGAGGCCGCCCTGAAAATCCTCAAGGCCAAGTAGGCACCCCCTGCTGCTCCTCCTCCCCCCCACCCTCTCCTTGTTTTCCCTGATGTCGCGAAATCCGGAGAGAAGCTGTAAAGCGTAGTCACAGATGCCATACGCACGCGTTTAGTTTAACCCACAATAATAGCTCTCTGCTTAGCAATGCTCATAACATCGTTTCCGTGAATGAGACTGGATTTCTTAGAAGTGATCTCATGCATTTTCAACGTGTTTTCGTCATTTTTGTGGAATTTTTTAAGCTTACTTGCACATTTCTGCTTATTCGTGGATCTCGCTCCAACAGAATTCGTGTTTTTTCAACACTTTTGTCGAACATTTCGTTTCTTGCGGCTCGTGACAGAGAGAGTTAGCGGGGCAGAGAAACGAAATACTGGCCATCTCATCTTACCCAGAGTACCCCCTATTCTTGTATGAGGTGGATCCTCACGACAAGTTATTACCTTCCGACGGATTTCATCATCACCATCATAATCATCATCATCATCGTAGACGTGACTCAGTCGTGTTTCTGTGACACGTCATGGACTTGTTGTGGAAAATTGTGATGAACGATGGAAAGTGCATGTTTTTTTTTACGGGAATCCAAAGCGCAAAACGTCGTGGGTAGATTTTGCGCAAGCCAGTACGTCGACACTGAAACAGGACATCCACTTGAAATAGTTTCCTCCTTTAGAGTGTTGGGGGTACATGAAGGGTGTGCTTTCTTGCAAACTGGTCGTCAGACGGTGGCCGCGCAACGCTACCGCCGACAATTGAACAAATTGAGCTGGGAACTTGATCGCAAGAGTCAATTTACTGGTCAAGGAATGAAGCAAGTCAAACTGCCGCAGCTGCTGCATGACAGCGCTCGACCACCTCATAAGACTCTCTTGAACTTGGGATGGAAGGTTCAACCACACTCGGCATATTCACCAGACTTGGCCCCATCCGACTGCCAGTCGTTCCGGTGAATGCGTCTGCACGCCTTAGTGGATGAACAGTTCAAAACGGTGGACGACGTGCGTGAATTTGTCGACGATGACTTGACTGCCTCGAAGTCTGTAAGGTTCCTTCGTGACGGCATGCGTACGTTAGCTGAGAGATTGCGCGAGGTCTTAGAGAACGATGGATTCTATTTCCAGGCTTAATCCCGTTGTTCTCCATTTTCTTACACTAGATTAATTTTCTGAAAAATCATGCACCTAATACTTTCACCCCAGTTTGATGTGCTTAGTCATGAATAACGCCTAGTAGGCAATGCGCACCAAACGTTGCGCCACTGCTTTCGTCTGGCCACTATTCCCTCCAACCGTTTGTCTTCCTTGCAATCGGCCTATCTGCGAAAACCACGCGTTTTTCTTTGTGTACAAGTAGGCGGATGCACTTCGCCAAGTGTACACCTCGTAATTGGTGCCACAGTAGGGTGATGAGCCCTATCATTCACACCTGTCACGAAACTCCACTGGCTCCGGCGCTCACTGTCTCACGGACTTCCGCGTGTCGTGGAATCACGGGCGTAACTAAACACAACCGAGGCTGTCAGGCACACGTCCGCAGTGTTCCTTGTTCCGACTGGAAGCCTGTGAAGTCATTACCTTCCCATCCATGGCGCCTCTTCCACAACAAGAACAACGCTTTTCCGCCCTCTGAAGGCATATTCTTACTGAACTTGAGTAGTTTGCTACGATATCGCAATTTTCCTGTTGTCTAAACGTCCACTTGAACCGCTGTAGTCATCTTAATCAGCAGTATGCTTGTCCTGTCTCGACGTCTGCTCACACTGAACAGGATGAAGAGTTAGTAATATGTGCTTTGGAGCACTCCACGACGTCAGCACATTGCATGATGTTCATCCTGTTATTCTTGATTTGTAACTCGTTTTAATTCTCATTCTTATTGGTGGAGCAAAACCCAGGCAACCCTAACGTTTGCCGTCTAATGTCGTAAGGTTTGTTGTCCAGGCTAGGGCCTGTACGCCGCTGAGTGTTCGCAGCCAGTAATTGTTTACAGGTAATGTGTTGAATAACGTCACGTCTGTTTTTGTGGCTATCGCGGTATGCATCCAACCACCCAGATGGCCTTGTTGTGTTTAAATAAACGTCTGATCATTGACGCGTTAATTTCAGACCTCGAGGTGACGTTCCATGTCTGGTTTCTGTCGCCGCGTACCCAGACCCCTTGGTAATTCAACTCCCCTCCCCCAGTGATGCGAACCTACTTTTCCCTAACGACGGTGTGTTTGCATTGGCTAGGATCGCCAAGGACGTGGTGCAACGCCAGATCGATAGCGAATTGGCCGAACGCCGGTCGCAGATGGGCTCGTTGGCGCGTTCAGACCGCATCCGCACCTACAACTACCCCCAGGACCGAGTGACCGACCACCGACTGGGTCGCTCGTGGAACGGCCTCGCCTCCTTCCTCTACCAGACCTCTTCAGAACTCGACGCAGTCGCTGACGCCATGGACGAGGCCTACAAACTCAGCCTTCTCGCCACCCTGGACAAACCATACTTCTTGTTGTGAAATGTTTTACTTGCGATTTGGCTTAATGTAGGGAAAAAGTGTAACCACACATCAGTTTGCCCTCTTTGCTGCCACACACGTGTAAACTCAGTCGGTGAAGTTGTTCGCTCCCAGTTGATTGGTTGAGTGGGATCTGGCTCGCCATTGGTCAGCGTTCCCTCGCATGCATTGGCACCCTCGGCCGGTCTGCTGTTGCCCAACCTCTTTCTGTTCTTGTGTGATGTCGTAGAGCAAGCTAACTTTACGGCAATGTCGTAGTGAGCGATCTGATTCACGGATTTTGATCATTTGGGTTTATACACACACAGACGCACCTAGTGATGCTAGTAAGGTCATTGGTCGATAGGATTAAGTCGTAAGCCACTTCGACCAATCCGCTTCGTAGAGGTTCGTGCGTGCGTGCAAATCGGGACGCACCAATGCGATGGCCGAGGGCCCACATCTACGACTATAAGTAGTCCAGGTTTTGCATTGTCGCGCTTACCAACAATCATGGCCGCGCCCCTCACGCCTCAGTTGGAAGAACTGCGCAAGGCGGCTCTCTCCGTCCTAAAGCACGCCTACTGCGGGTACAGCGATTTCCCAGTTGGTGCAGCCCTTGCAGACGACAAGGGACGCATTTTTACCGGTGTCAACGTGGAGAACGCCTCCTTCCCCTGTGGATGGTGTGCCGAAGTTAGTGTCTTCGGAGCGGCGCTCACAGCCGGTGCGAGAGAATTCACCGGGATGGCTGTCGCGGTGGACAGGGATCAGTTCTCATCACCGTGTGGTCGATGTCGACAGGTTATCTGCGAGTTCTGCTACGGCAAGAACATGCCGCTACTGCTTGTCAACGGGAAAGGCGAATACCAGAAGACAACTATTGAGGAGATTCACAAAATGGCCTTTCAAAAGAAATCCATGGACAAGTGTTGATATTGTACCTTTTTGCCCTTTGCTCTCTGCTTGAAGTCCTTTCATTAAAGTAAATAAATTCATAAATTTTGAAACGCGTTGTCATTTCTTCAGTATTCGATGTTATGCGGCATTGTTTAGTTGCTCGCTATTTTAAATGCCCGTTGTGATTGGCTTTCAACTCGAAACACTAAATCTGGGAGTACGAATTGGTCGGTCCGTGGGTCATTGGTTCGTATAGGCTTCGTTCCAACCAATAGGTGTAGCGTTATTAAAATTCGCCCGCTTTCGTACGTAGTTGCAGTGACGTGGAGTCGCGATGCAGGCTTGCAATGCAGTCATGAGAAATTCTGTACCGGACGAAGGGATTTCCTTTAGCTACTTCGAGTTCCGACAAATTGGTTATTGTGTTAAGACAACAAAGTATACTCACAGGGAACTGTGACAAGACTATGCTCAGTCATGATTACTATTTCTGAGGCGATGCGGGAAGTAGTTCCCCCTCGTCACTCCACTCCCCTGACCTCTCAGACATTTGTACCTTTATTGGACTCAGACCCCAGACTCTATTGGTCAAGGATCACGCGCTCGACAATAACACAATTTGGTTGACCAATCGTGTAAGCTGGCCAATTCGACATACCGGCCGCGGGCACTTTGAAACCACATGTTGAATCGAAACTAGGAAGCATTAATCTTGAAAGATGGTGCAAAAAGTGGACGACACATGATGCAATTAAAACATGGGATATATTTGCAGAATATGCGTAATATCTCCAACAGATACAATTTGCAAAGCGTATGATTCGATGAGCAATGGAGGAAGTGGTGCCAGGAGTTGAAAACGCAAACAACAGCATCGGAGAACAATTTACTGCTACTGAATCACTTCCACTTGTAGTGAATCGTGTTCCTTCACGTCAATCAGCTCTACTCGCACCCCCCTGTGCATTCACCTCCCCCCCTAGTAATGTTACTCAGGCGTTTGTACTTTTATTGGTCCACGCAAACTGAATTTGTCAACAACTTCTCTAGACATGCATGATTTTTAATGCACACACACACACGCACGACAACAGCACAGCGAGGTTGAACCAACTAGTAAACAGTTGTGACTGGTCCACAATGCGGTTCGCGACAACATGTCGAGATTTCAACACCATCATAATTTGAGATTAGTGCGCACGAAAACACGTTGCACTCACTAGACGCAACTAGAGGTGTGCTGGAATGCACGGTCCCTCTGATCACGCCGTTAGCATGCATCGAGAATCAGCCGGATTTAAATCCAGACGTGCCTGGCTGTAAGTTTGAAGGATTACTACATCTGCTTCGTCAGGCCAGAGGGTAGTAAGCAGCTTAGGTTAACGCGGTCAGGTCAGTTCATGTGAATTTGTAAAAAAAGGCGCCACCTTTTGCCAAAGCCATCACACGCACTCGATTTTGGCGGACTGGCCCAAGAACTTGTAGGGGATCTTGGCATATCACAGCAGTCACCATAGCTCACGAACACAGAAGATAATGGAGACGACTGTTTAGTAGTGTAGATGATCACTACCGGTCTCCCGCTTGGTGAAAGGAAATGACGAACCTTTCTTCCCACCGGAATTCTGAAAGGTTAATCGTAAGAAAATAGTGCACAATGCCTGATCGTTGAGACTTCTCGACCCTGACTGAGAATTGACATCAGCTAGCACAATGGATCGAAAATATCTGTCCGACAATTGTCGTTAGTCAAGGTCTAGAGATGAGATGAGTGAAACAGGGCAAATGATCGTCACCGGGAGGTGAATTTAGCCAATGATCAGGGCCTAGAGATTAGTGGGAGTCGTCCGGAGGTGATTGGGTCAGAGACGAAACCTGGTTGAGCTAGGCGGGATTTGAGTGATAAAGGTGAGTGAAAAGAGTGAAAGCCGAAGTGGCCGAGATATGCGAGAGCAGAAAGGGCTGAGGGCCGACTTTTCCATTCGGGCACTGGGCACAGAATGCGCCGGAAGATCGCCAATTGCCAGCACAAGATGATCGATTGAATCCGTGGGGGAGCTATGTGCATGGGGGTGGGTGAGCAGCCTGCCCGGAGTGGCTGGCGGGCGCGCTGTGAAAAAAAAGGGGGGGGACATTGTGTCGGACAGTGCAACGACTGGGTTAATTGACGTGAATCAGCACGATTCACCCAAACGTTCACTCACCCGACCTAGAAACTAGCGTAAACGGTCTGGGCAAAGGGCATGCAGTTTCAGCGGCCTAACAACCAGCTGAATGTACTTCGACTTCTTATTATTCTCAAAGTACTTCATGTTGGATTGCACAACACGTCAGAGACACAAATTAGAGCCTTAAATGAACAGGTGCTATTTACACGTAAGTGGTGCTAGGCCCGACCAATTGTGGAAGGCTAAATGTGCTACTTTTCGACTCCTCAATGATGGTTGAGCCAATGGGTACAAAGCTAGTAAATAACCGGGTCCGTCAAAAAATGCAATTGGTTGTGTGTGAAATCATAGAGCATAACTGTAACTTATTCAGACTGTTTATTGACTAAATCATGTTAAATTTCTGCTTGTGATGTACTTGTCGTAGAAGATTTAACCAAAAGCATTGTTATGGTCAAAAATCGAAGTGTATTTTGGTGGCGGCTTGCCTGAATTGACGTTCTGCAGTTTTCAGGAAAGTGGTGTGTGTAGGAACGCTTGGCCGTCTAGTTGGACAGACGACTTGACCGCAGATACCAACATGGTTCGTTTTAACTTCAGTTTAGGAGTAATGTTTGCCCATCGAAAATACAGCTGGAAATCGTAGTGAATGGAACTAATTCACATCCAATAACCCAGTTGTCGCAGTCCTCGTCATTCTGACCGCATTGCCACTCTGTCCACGTCAATCTTGCCACACCGTCTGTTCATTTACCTGACCGTTAACCCAGAATTTACTGATCGACAACCTCATTTAGTTCACAATATCTGGATTATCGTACAACCTTTGCGTTAGCTGATCAGGCCAGCTACACCTTCCAAAGCAGTGGGCTGATTTAAAACGAACGTGCTGGTTGCTCTGTCAGTTTACCTACCAATACTAATGAAGTAAATTCCTTTCAAATCTACATCCGTGAAATCACAGGTTACATCTAATCCTTATACCGATAGCCTATGACATCAAAATACAGGAAGTTGAGTTGGATTTATAAGAAATGATTGCTTTTTCACATTTACCCAATATTTGCTATGAAACCCCAATATCGATTGTCAGTTGTAATCAATAGCCAATGACATCCGATTAACTCGTGAATAAGCTTCACTCACGCTGGTGCCACCGGTTAAGTTCCCGACAGTGACGGTTTCAGAGAAATCTGACGAACGCTTCTTCAAGGACGCAAGGCTTTACCTACACCAACTATGCAAGTGCACGTACTGAGTCAATTTAAATGTCGCGCGTGTGTTGCTGTACGTGCCTTTTCGCCACCAATTAAGAAGCACCAACTGGTCGCATGTATGGGACGGTAATTCTGCTACGCGCATATTTGCCGAAATACGCACAGCGCGCTGTCCCGGGATTGTGCGGACAGCATAGTTTGGATGACTAATCCAACTGGAGCGCCTTAAATCGATTATTCAATTAATTGAAACTACGATGGCTGGCAGGAACAGTTTATTCGAAAAGATGAAACGCTATAAAGAGACATTGTGCAGACTACGAGATTATGAGAAGTCAATTTCCTGGTACGTATAGTGGTATGAAGTTGTGCGGTAAAATCGCCTACTCCCACCCACTGCGGTTTGATGCGTAGACCGGGAATCAGTCACGGGTTTTGGCTGACGCTCAAAGGCGTTAACTACGAGGTTCATGGAAGCCTTAATCACTCTTCTATTGTCGAAGTCAGTCACCGAGAACATGGTAGGGGTGGGTTCTGGTGTTAGCCTAACCCGACCACTATTCCAGGCCTCATAGAAACTTTGCCAACTGAGTGGCGTAAATTCCTGAGCTGGTGGAAGATAAGTTGCTCTGCTTAACGTCGGACGCGTAATCTGCGGTCGCGCTAGCCAGGTCTCAGCGACTTCGCCCTTCTGCCAGTTAAACATTCCGTAGGTGAGGGCCTCCAGTGGATTCAGCCACTGACCAAGCGGACCCCCTGGTCTAATTGCCGAGACACGATAAACCTTTCGTCGAACTTGATAAGGCTTGAAGTTCTTCTTCGGTGAGATGAGCAAGATCTTCTTTGCAACGGCCTCTTCAGCGGGAATCCACGTCGACATGAGGTCGTCCCACACGGTGATGGTGGAGCCACTGCAGTCCTCGTGAATCAGACCGACACGCCATGCCTCCTCGAAGGTCATCTTCGTTCCGGAGAGAGGACTGACGTATCCACAACCACCCACCTCATACCAGCCATGGGATTCGCGGATTATGAAAATCAATGGACCACAGGTATCTAGAATACGTGGTAGAGAAGCCAGGCGAATGCATCCACGAGAGAAGGCTTCTACCAGTCGCAAAGTCATTCCGCTTTCTGGATCCACATACCTGGGTTGGCCCTTGTCGAGGCTTATCCATTTACGGTAAAGTGCAATGGGCAAAGGAGTGAAAACGCCAGTTTTGTGGTTGAGGACCTCAATCATGCTTTGCCAGCTTGGTGTGAGCAGTCGCTGGAAATCATCACATAGCTCGTATTCAAGGAGGCGAGCACGAAGACGGAAAGTCTCCAAATGAACTCTGAAACGTTCAAAAAGCGAACAAAGAATTCATAATGGAATTGCGTCCAAGGACCCTGGCCAAGAAAATCAAACAAACTACTGAGTAAACGGAAGACTTTCAAAGGATATCGCACGGACACCCGTAATTTGACCTCACCTATTCAAACTATCAGCGCCGCACAAAAGAGGAATTATGAGATCTCGAATTCGCCATCTCAATTAGTTTATGAGTTTATTCAGAGCACAGATTTAAGAATTGTAATTTCGTCCCTCATAATCAAATTTGAACCAAGAGGAATTTGAGGTAATTAATATAAATGTCCAAAAAAACACATGGGAAATATAGATTAGATTAGACACGATTGACAAATAGACAAATTACACTTACGGAAGCCCTATCCCACTGAGGCCTTTTCGAAGCACGTAGGGTGCCCCTAATCCTGGTCTTGCGGCGGCCTGTTCCTCGAAGTTGGTCTGGGTTTTGTCCCTTCGCCACATTAACCTCTCCTGTCTGAACTCATGGATCATTTCAAAGAGGCAGTCGATAGTCATGCGATCCGTCTGGATTGCCTGATCTAGCCCTAGCCTCCGTGGAAGAGGAACCAGTATTTTCTCAAATTCTCGGTGTTCTTGAAACTTGGCTTTGGCATTGTCACTGTATCCGGTTTCTGTGCGCAAAGTAATTTGGCAAGATTGTCCAACTGACTGTCTGCCCACCATAGCCTGTGCCGTGGGACGCCGAGCCACTTCATCTGCAAGCATGTTGATGCATCTGGTCAGATCAGCACTATGCATTTCAGAAAGATGTTTTCGTAGCAACTCCTCAATCGAAACCACATCCCCAATGCCCACTTGAATTGATCGATTATGCCGAATCAATGTCATCTCAGGTTGATAATGTCGAATAAAAGTTCGTGTTGGACTGAAGAACTGGATGGGAGGATCATTCACGTGATCCAGTCTTGCGGGAGGTCGCAGCAAAGCAATATAGCCGGAATCATCAAATGGTCTTACTGGCATTTCATCAGGAGCACTGATTAATTTGGCAGTTTGCGCAACACTTGACACACACTTACTCACCAGTTCGGTATGAATGCGGCAAAGCTTGATAACTGGATAAGATTGAGTAGGTGCTTCTTCGTCTTCAATCGCTCCTGACATTGCACTACTCTCGCCAAGTTGTTGCAGATCAAGCTTCTTGCTAGGTGCTTTTTCTACACACAAGTATCCTGGCGCTGAAAATGACCTTCTTCTTACAGTGAATTCAGAAATCGGACCACGATTTGTGAACGACTGCTTAGGAGGTAAAGCATAACCGTGTGACATTGGTTCCAACTCCTCTATTTCTTCTATGATTTCTTGCGTTTCCGATGTTTTAATCTTGGTTGATTCAACAGACCGGGTAGTGACGCATTCTTCAAGGAAACCTTTTGTTCCACTCTTCCCATCAGCGTTCATGCGTCGGCCGGTATCGATTTCTTGTTCTCTCCACCCAATATCGTGCTCTCCTGTTACCATACTATCAACACGGCTCGTAGAGTGCGTTCTGGGCGGTCGTAGAGGGGATTCGTAGTCTGTTGAGTCTATTAGAGGGAGAGAGCGAAGAACCAGGTCCCTCATTGAATCTCCCTCTGCCGCTCCAAATGTCATCGTGGCTGTAGATCGTTTGTCCGGGGTTTTCGTTTGAATGAACTGAGAAACGAGCTTCTTTGGCTCCCTTTTTGACATGGCAGTGGTTTCTACAGGCGTTTTATCTTCGACTACAGACGGACTACCGGTAGCAACCTGTGGTCTGGCCATTTCAGCCAAACTCAACCTTAGGAAGCTGAGTCCGCGACTTGCTCGAGGTGTCGAGCCTGGTAAACCCACTTCTTCCTCCCCATGGTCAAGATTCGATTGGTCGAAAGTCGGTGCGTCTTCACCAGCTGACGGTGGAATTCCACGTACAAGATGTCGCAAAGAAACAACACCAGTTGGCGTGGTTGTCTCAGACACGTATTCTGACTGATCCAAATCTTCCATGTGCTCAAACATTCCAGGTTCCATTCCACTTTTGTGCTCTGGCCAAAGTAAGGCATCGTCAGTCGAATCTCCGACTTTCTGAATGTGGCTGCATTCACTCGTGTCAAACATCGTGCCAGCTGTTTTAACTATCGGCATCAAATTAAGATGTTCAGGCTCATGTCCAGTTGCTACATTGGATGTGTCTTTAAAAAGGAAGCCCGTTAACATACCTCTTGAAAAACGCCCATTTTTAATACTGTGTGATGACGTTCCCACGGACACATTCCAAATCGGCATTAATGATGCTTGGATCAAGGATTTCGTCACACGAGAGGATGGAGAAAAAGAGGAGATACCTTCGTGTTTAGTTACCCGAAAAGCCTCGCTCAAATTTTCATTCCGAGCCAGATGTTCCCCTTCAGGCTCGGTTGACACTAAAGGACGTTCCGGCGTCCTACCTTCTTCAAGTGGATCCACGTCTCCGTCAGAAAGGCACAGATCAACAACAGGACATGTCAAAATACCTTCTTCGGCATAGGAGCGTATCGCTGGTACGCGGGGTCTAAACAAAGCCAAATAGTCTTCAGAGTCAAAGTTGATTGCGCTCCTAGTTTGAGTGCTTCTTACATTCATTGGAGACATTACTCCCACAGAAACCCCAGAGACCTCAGCTGGTCCTTGACTGCTCTCCTGAATGATTGCTGCGGAAGTTCTTGATGATTTCTGCTGTCCTTCAATAGCCGATTGGAAGGCTGATTCCGCCGACAAGGCTTGAAGTGGTGGCCCCTCTGGTATTGATTCTTGGGGGTCCTGATCCGCCATTTCTAAGACTTGGTCACTTCTGGAAATTGTTGAGGTGTAGAGGTCCCCTCCAGTTTCACTAGTGGTGGTACAAGGCCTCAAATTCTCCTTTTGGATGCCTATTCCCTCATTGGCCACCTGGTCTGCAGATAGGCACTGAAGTTCCTTTAATTTCAGCTGTTTATAATTGTAGATATAGTGCGAAGAGGCATCAAGCAACTCTAATCGAGGTGTAGTTTTAGGTGGAACAGAAAAGCCAGGATCCTCCATAGTACCAACTGCATGTTGCACAACATTCCTCGTTGATTTCTCCAACATTAAAACACGATATTCACTGGGATTTTCCAATGGTGACTCAATCTCAGAGATGTCGAAATCATCAGTAATTTCAGAATCGACCAACGGCCTAGAGGTGAATGAATGAATCTGCCTAGCAGTCATTATTCCTGTATCCAACCGAATAACACTTCCGCTCCTTTTATTGAGACATGATGAATGTAGTTCCAGCAATCCGACATTGTCAATTTCAGATAAATTGGCTTGTGACAACAAAACACTAGACATTCGAGCATACACACACTGTGTAGCCACTGACTTCCCACAAATTACGCGAGGCTTCATCTGCACCCAAACAAAGTCATCGATGTGCGCCTTCGCTACATCTTCTGCCACTTCACGAGTCTGGCTTCCAGATGATATTGGAACACACTCCGTAGCCTTGGTGATTCCAGTGGTCGTAATGTGCATCTTCGTCATTGAGGTGACTGGTGGTGATGACGGTGGTGGTGGAGGTGGTGTCTCACATTTCGCATAAGACACGGACAAACCAATCGGGTGTTTCGGACTAAACAACTCCGCAGAACATACAGTAGATGACACAGATTCCATAACTTCGCGAGGCTTCATTTCCACCACATACTCGTCTGCGTCACGCCTTTTCACCATACTTGACAGTACATCAAGTGTCTGACTTCCAGTTGTCTTCGACGGTCGTTTAATGCCTGCGTTGTGTTCAATACGGTCTATTTCCATCGACGTAGAATGAAGTGACACCGTCAACGTTGATGCTTCCTTACATTCAACACTAGCACCAACGCATTTTGTTTCCAACGGAGAGATCACTGATTCCAGACCACGCTCATACTCGAGAAATCTTACTTTGTTTCGCCAATATGCTTCATTCTGCCCAATGTCACGTCGTTTCCGCGACTCCTCCTCAACTGGTACCGCGGTCATTACCGCAG